TATATTTATATCTATATATATTTACAACTCTGCCATAGATTCCTTCACCTTTGGTTAAAAAAGTTAAAGCCCTCTCTTTAATAGCATACTTTCTCTTTAAAAGAACACACATTTTGCATACAAAAGAAAAAATCTGTTCCCATAAGTCAACATTACATTCCTCATCTTCAAACGGCAAAGGCTGTGAAGGTTAGACTCCAGAGTTTATCAACACTCCACTGCACAGACATTTAAAATGACTATTTATTTTTTATGTTTTATATACAGTAAGATCTGAATAATTTCATTTTTTTTTCTTTTTGCTTCACATAACTGGGAAAAATAAAACCCGTGTATTTGTAATTTCTTTTTTTTTAATTTCTAATGTTTTTCCACCTATCTGCACTATGGGTTTAGAGGCACTCCATCACGTGATGAATTTTTTTTTCTTTTTTTTTTTTTCTTTTTTTTCTTTTAAAGTATTTTAAGTATCCTTTGGACAGCTTCTCCCCCGAGAAGATGACTTCCTCCTCCTGGGAAATCCTCTGCCTTCAGCAGGCCTTGGGGAGCTCTGGAGGCACCTCGCTCGCAGAGATGCGGTACTGCACCTTGGTGTTGGTGATGGCCCCGTGCTTCTGCCGGAGGTGAAGCCGCAGCTGGCTTTTGTGGCGGAAATGCAGGTTGCACTTCTCACACTGTGGGGTTAGAGGCAAAGGCAGAGGGTGTGAAATATGACGGGAGGGGACACAACCTTCTCTTCAGGGCGGGGGTCCCACAGCAAACCCCTGTCCTCCGCCAGATACCCCAGGATGTTGTGCCCATTATACTGGTGGACAAGGCAAAAAAAAGTGGGGACATGGTGGGAGAAGCAGCACCCAGGGGAACCACATCCCAAGCTTCCAGAAGCACATTTTGGTTTATAGGATGTACAAAGGCCGAGGGCCCTGAGGAGGGGACCCTGGCTCTGACAGACATGGTGCCGAGCTCCTTATCTAGATGCTCAAACCAGCTACGGGGTTATTTCAGGAGCTGCTTTTGACCCCTGCCAGGCTGGATGGCTCCAGAGGGATGTCTGGACAATAACCTCTGCTCCAATCCCCTCTCTAGCAGATGGGAAAGCCAGAAAAGCCTCAAAGAGCTGTGAGCCCCCAGGGCTGCAAGAAAGGCAGGGCAGGCTGCTCGCTCAGCGTGGGTGCCAGCAGCACCAGGGACCCCAGGCCAGGCTGCCTGCTCCTTTCCCCCCTCCCTGCACACAGCGGGCCGCTGTAATTTAAGCCACAGCTATTTGGAGAAGTGTGACCTTCTTCCAGATGGAGTGGAAGAAAGGAAGAGTAGCTAAGATGTACCCAGCCCGGGCTGCATGTCAAGTGTTTCCAACGCAGCCGCTCACGACAAAATATTGTGTCAGCATCGGCTAATGCACTAGAGGGGGACAGGGCATGAGGAGCAGGGATGTGACCTCAGTGTGGTGCCTCATGAGGCTGGTGAAGGGCATTGAGGTGCTTCAACCAGCCCATGTGAATGCTCCAGTGTCTTCCCAGCCCCCCAGGTTTGGCAGCATCCTCCCTCAGCCCCAGCTGAGAGCCACTACAAAAAAAAGAAAAGCAGAGTCACTCACATGATACGGTTTCTCTCCTGTGTGGATTCGAAGGTGACTTTTGAGTGTCTGCAGGTGCCGGAAGCGTGTGCCACAGATCTCGCAGGGGTATGGCTTCTCCCCAGTGTGAATGAGCACATGAGCACGGAGATGAGCCACCTAGAGAGAGCAGTTCTGGGTGAGAACAGCCCCAGGGGCGAGAGCATCCCAGCAGGAGCAAGGACATCCCTGTGGGAGTAAGGATATCCCACCAGGAGTGGGGTTCTGCACAGCCATCTTTTTTTGGTCTAGTGGTTTCCAGCTGGGAGTCAGGGCCACGTGTCTCTGAGGTCTGGTATCTCCAGTCCTTAACAGCAAATGGAGGAGAGGAGCTAAAACCAGCAGTCAAGCTTCCTGCTAAGCCAAACTGGCCCACACAAACCTTGAGACCCCTATTTATCCCACAACACCATGGGAAGAGCTGCCCAAGGCAGTGAGTGTGGCCCATCAGCTTCCTCCCTGCCATGAAGCGTCACTGGTCTCAGGTATAAGGTCAGGCCATGTCCCACCTCCCCAGGCACCACAGGTCCCAGAGGCCATACGCACCTGGACAAATCTGGCCCCGCAGGTCTCACACTTGTAGGGTTTCTCTCCGGAGTGGATGCGTGTGTGGGTTTTCAGGTTGGCCGGCCGGTTGAACTGCGCTCCACAGATGTTGCAGCGGTACGGCTTTTCTCCTGCAGAGCCCAAAAGAAAGGGTGAGGGAATAAGTACTGGTGTGCTCAGTCCTTGTGATTCATGGTGCTCCCCAAAGTTAAGTCCTTTCAGGTGCCAGACCCCATGGCATGAAGCACTAGCCCTGACTCTGTCCCTTTTGGAGATGGCTGTGGACAAGCAGCATTGGACAGGACAGCTCGGGGTGTCCCCAGAGCAGGGTGAGCTCAGGAGGTACCCAGGCACCATGGGTACCTTTTCTTTTTCCGGTTGGGAGCTGCAGCCTTCAGGGCAAGACAGAAAGTCAGGCAGCTCTGCCAGCGAGGATTAACAGCATCACTGCTCCTGGCCCCGTGACAGTGGCTGGCACCCTCTGTCTCCCTACAGCCATGATAAGCCATGCAGGGCCACTTGGCTCCCTTCAGGCTCCTCGTGGTCCCCAGCACATCCTGCCTTGGCTGTTCATCACCTCTTTAGAGGAGCGAGGAGAGCTGATAGAGTGGAAAGCCAAGGCATGCCCAGTGACCCAGCTCCCAAGCCATTATTCAACTACAATCACCGCTGCTGGCCCTGGATGACCTTCTCACAGTGATGGGGGGAGCTGCAAAAAGGTTTTAACTGGTTTCTTTGGGATGGTTGAAGATGGGCTCAAAGGGGAGCAGGAAACAGCCATCATCTACCCCTTCCTGCCTTTTTCTTTTGTTTCCAGGTGTTGATGCCATGCGCTCTTGAGCCCTGCCCTGGCACTTGTGTTGTCTCCTTCACCTGCACAGCCCTCCTGGAGCTCAGCTGGGGCTGATGGACTTTATGCCTAATACAGTGCAGCAGCACTGATTTGTCAGCACAGACTTCCCTCCCCCAGCCACTGAACGGGGTTGTTGACATGCTAAGCATTAATAAAAGCATGAGAAAAAATCCCCAGGTTTGTCAGCAAATGACTAAACCCTTAATATCCCCTTCCTTTCTCAGCTTTCATTGTGCTGAATCACAGAATCCATCTGTTCACAGATTTTCCCATCAGCAGAGTTTCTGCCAGGCTAGATACAATCTGGATTTCTAGGATGTAGGGGAAAAAAAATTGCAGACTTTTTGTTAAATAATAAAAAAATATATATATTTTTTTTTTAAAAAGTCTACCATAAAGTAACCTGGAGGGCACGCATCTGATCCCAGCCATGAATTTTGCAAGCTGCCTTTAGAAATGGCAGTGCCCAGCGCTTTACAGCGAAGAAGCTTGAGCTGCAGCCCCACTGCGAGGCCAGGCAGCATCTCCCCTGTTCCCAGGTTTGGTGCTCTGCCCAAGGGCTCCCTGGCAGCGCCAATAAAAGCACCTTGTCCCAGTCAGGGACAGCAGGTGACACAGAGCTGGGGACACTCTGTCTGGGACAAACCCAGCCATGTTTATGGCTCACATGCCCAGCAACCCTCAGCCCCAGTAAGTTGCCCCGTGGCCAACACCGTACCTGTGTGGACAGTTTTGTGGCTGGCAAGGTTCCCCTTGTAGCGGAAGGAGGCCTGGCAGCGGTCACACTTGTAGGGCTTGTCACTGTGGACTTGCAGAGAGTGTCTCTTGAGAGAGGCCTCCTCGGAGAACCGGCAGTCGCATTCATTGCAGAAGAAGGCTCCATTCTCTGGGAGGGCAGAGAAGAGAGCCGTGAGATGGGCAAGGCGTAGGCCAGCTCCTCGATGGGCCACAGAAGGGGGTTGGAGTGGTGGAGAGGGGAAGCCAGAGCAAGTGTTGGAACTCTTAAATGCTGCAGGTAGGTTTGACCATCACCACAGTGAGGTTCCCTCGGTGGATCTGTGCCCATACCACAGGTGACAATTCTGCATTCCCCCTCCCTGAGCTGCAGGCAGATCTGTGCACAGATACTTGTCTCTGGGCTTGTAGAGTTTTGCAACAAGATTGCAAGCCTCATTATCTGCATTTCTCCAGATGTGCGCATTGGGCTCCCTGATAATGAAGATATCATGACAGATGCATGAGCCATACCATCTTGCCCAATCTCCATTAGGGTCATTACATCTGCCAAGCTTGTGCTCCCGTGGTTCTGGTGGGGTGGGGTGCACTTTGTTTCCTGTCCTTAGCTGCCAAGTTTGCAGCAGGTGACTAATTCCCTGTACAAAGTTATCTGGACAGTGCTGGGGAAAGGGAGGAAGGAAGCAATTCCCGTGTGTGTGTGTGTCCCTCACATGCATGCACACAGCTGGTCAGCCAGTTAAGAGGGGACTGTAAAGCACCTTGGGATCCACCAGCATCAGAGACAGGTCTGACTGCCCGTTTGGACACAGGGCACAAGTTGGACAGGTCCCCAGACTGCACAGCCCCCTTGCCTGCTGGCTGAAAAAGGTGACCAGGGATGCAAGACTCACCACAGCTGGAGTCAGAGTATTCAGACTGGGTTTCCCCCATCTCCTCTCCAAAGTTTGAGCCAGGGGTATGAAGGCACATCTCAGCATGTTGTGGGGACTGGCAGCCACAGGAGCTGCACTTCGACGAATGCATGTACAGCGGGGACTGCCCTTCGCTGCTCCGAGGGGACCCATCCCGGGACCTGTGGAAGGACAGCAACACACACAGCTGTGAGAAGGCTCTTGCTGTGCTTGAGCTACTGAGCCCTTGTTTCCACCCTTCCACACACAAGGGACGGCCATGTTTTACGGGGATGCTTTTCTGATGAGACGCACAGCATAGCCCTGATCAACAACAGGTCCCTGAGCCTCAATCCTTCAGGTGCCCATCACCAAATGACCTCATACTCTCTAGGAACATCCAGGTCCAGAGGCTAGTGTGCTGTTCCCTGGTAGTCTGGCCTTTTCAACGCTTATAGCCAAACAACAGCTCGAGGCACAGAGAGTCTGGTGAAAATCAGGTCAGGCAAATCCAGGCTCCAGAAACCACCCAGAGCTGCCAAAGTGAGCCAGGGATTCCTGACCCGATGCTCTCAATTCCATCGCCAGGCCAGGCTAGCACCACTAAGGTGGGGACAGCTGGCACCCAACCGATGTCACTGGCGGTGCTCCACCAAATGCAGAGGCCTCTACCTGCTCATGGTTGGACTCCCCAGCCCAGTGCCACAGCTATTTCACACACTTCCAAACCCTCACCAACACCACAGGTGGTCCTGTCTCTCATGGTGGGGGAGGAAATCTTCTTACCTGTTAACAATATTATTGAGTCTGCTTGCTTGTGGGATAGTAGAGTCTTCTCCATTCGCACTCATCTTAGTGGGGGATTGCACGTTGAGATGCTCCGGCTCCATGGACTGCTGGCAAGTGGACATGGGCATGTAGGTGCGAGGAGAGAGTGTTGCCATCTCATTCTGCTCAGCACTGTCTTGCTTGGTGCTCTGATTGAGAGAGTTGAGGACAATGAACTTGTACTTCTTCCAGTTGCAGGCTTTGGGGTCTGTGGGGCTCTTGGTGAAGAGGGAGCTGGAGCTCTGACTGATACGGGCGTTCTTGCTGCTGCTGGACTCGGTTGGCGAGTTGGGCTGACAGTCTGACTTCTGGGGGCTCTGGGGGCTGATGAGTCCCTTGCGGTCCAGGGGGGTGTTGGTGGGCTCAAAGTGTTGGCTGATCTCATCCTCTGAAGAGGTCCTCTCCTCCTCTTTGGCCACTTTGTCACAAGGGAAATAGGGATTGTTCCGGATCGAAGGGACAACAGGTTTGGGGCCAGAGGCTACGCTGTAGTGCATGTCACTCCTGGCTTCTTCAGCAGCACCTTCTTTTGGAGCATAGATGGTAGTGTGGCACATGTTGGCCGAGATGTCGGTAATGGTTCTCATGTACTCGGTGGGGATTGTCCTGGAGCTGTCACATGGCAGGATCCTCTCCTTGGGGAAGGCACCTGCCCTCGAGAGTTCGGAGAGAGGCATCCTCATCTCCCGCAGCTCATCATCCACAAGGAAGCTATTTAGAGGGAGAGGGCTGTATTCATGGTAGGAAATGGGGGATCCAGACAAACTGTTGATCAAGCCAGGTGCAAAGGCCCTCCCATTGCAGAGGGACCCATTTTGGAGAGGCAGGCCGTTCTCTGAGACATCTCTGCTCCGATAAGCCATCACCTCTGGGTGGCCCAGCATCCGTCCAGCCAAAAACTCTTCCCTTGGGGCCTTCACAGCAGACACCATCTCCGCTTCACTGGAACCAGGCAAAAAGGAGGGAGATGCAGTCATTTTCAGCCCAAAACGATAAATTTTTAGATACTTTGTCAGTTCTCCCCCATTCCCACCCAAACACACCATCCCAGGCTCTCCAAAGTTCACCCACGAC